GTGCATTAACTCCGAGTGGAGACCCTTGTCGTTTTACTCTCGGAAGCTACTTCCTGCTGAGACCCGCTACAGCGTCTTTGGCCGGGAACTACTAGCCATCTACGCTGCAATACAGCACTTTCGGCATTTCCTGGAAGGATGCTCGTTTTACGTGCTGACTGACCATAAGCCACTGGCGTATGTTTTCCGCACTAACTCATCCAAGTACGTGCCCCGTGAACTGCACCATCTGGCCTATATATCGGAGTTCACGACTGACATCCGCCACGTGAAAGGAGCTGACAACACCGCCGCAGATGCCCTTTCTCGTATAGCCGCGGTTGACTCTCCACCGCCAACCATCGACTGGGCCTCATTCTCCTCGGCACAGCAGGATGATAGAGAGCTTGCCGCTTTTCGAGAGAACCCCCGTTCTTTCCGATTACGCCTGGTGCCTCATCCATTATCATCTGAGCGCTTGTGGTGCGATGTCTCAGCTGACCTTCCCCGCCCTTTCGTTCCCGCTTCATTACGACGCACCGTTTTCCACTCCTTACACGACATCTGTCACCCTGGCATTCGGGCTACTCAGCGTCTTCTCACCCAGCGCTATGTCTGGCCCGGAATCAACGGTGATGTGCGCGCTTGGACGCGCATGTGCCTGCCCTGCCAGATGACAAAGGTCTCCTGTCATACTAAGACGCCGCCCCAACCTTTCCTTCCACCCGGCCGTCGTTTCGACCATGTTCTAGACATTGTGGGCCCTCTACCAGTGTCTCAGGGGTACCGTTATATATTGACCATGGTCGATCGCTTCACACGCTGGCCAGAGGCTGTTTCAATTCAAGATATCACAGCCGAGACAGTTGCCCGCGTTTTCATTTCTACGTGGGTATCCCGTTTTGGCTGTCCTGGCACCGTGACAGCAGACCGTGGACGTCAGTTTGAGTCCTCGCTGTTTACTTGCCTTAATCGCATCCTCGGAGCCAGACATTGCCGTACCACGGCTTATCATCCCTGCGCCAACGGCATGGTGGAACGCCTTCACCGACAACTGAAGACCGCCTTGACCTCAATAAAGCCACCTGGGTTGATGCCTTGCCACTGGTGCTCTTAGGTTTACGAGCTGTCATCCGGGCAGACCTGCAGTGCTCAACAGCAGAGCTGGTGTATGGCACTTCTCTACGGCTTCCGGGAGACTTCTTCACGTCGACGAAGCTACCAGACCAGCCACAGCAATTCCTACAACGCCTCCTCGACTGCGTTCAAGACCTCCGGCCCACTCCACCCAGACCTTCCGAACACAAGACCATATTCGTCCACCCTGATCTGGCCACTGCAACACATGTTTTCGTGCGCCACGACGCGGTCAGACCACCTTTGACACTAGCATACGACGGACCATTCCGCGTCCTTCACCGCATCCCCAAAACTGCCACTCTACTTCAGAACGGCCGTGAAGAGACAGTCAGCTTGGACCGACTCAAGCCGGCGTACCTAGAGACCGCCCTAGAAAGCCTCTCATCTACGACTGATCTTCCGTTGGAACACCACAAACGGCATGTCACATTCCGACTTCCAGTCTACACGGGGGGGCCCCGTAGCGCCCTCGTTCGGGTGGCGCGCAAACCGGAGAGTGCGCGATGGCGACAGAAGAAAATAAAGAAGGCACTAGGCCGTGGCACGTGAAGCCACGGCTCGCGTTCCTGGCTGGCATCGGTCATGGTTCAGGCGTGTCTTTCTTTCGCTCCTGTGGCATAAGCCTACAATAGCACAGACTCTTCCATTATTACATAGCTATTATTGATGCAACTTCTCTTAAAGGGCCACTCACCAGGTTGGACAATTTTCAGCTGACAAGCTCAATGCCTACATGGGGCATTCACGATCACGCCTGCCAATCGTTGTAATGCTACATGTGGAGGAAATGGGCCAAATTTCAAGATGAACACTGCTCTCCCTTTCTTTCGTGAGTGCGCGCCTAGGGAATGAGGGCATGAGTATTTGCCCTACGTACAAAGAAGTGCTGTGACGTTGGTCCTCTATGTAGACGACTGTGCCCTGACGTTGCCAACAGTAGCACTTGATATGGCGAAAATTATTTAGCACGACATGTGTAGTGTATGTAAGTTGTTGCTTGAATAGATTAATAAAACTACAGATAAATAATGAGGTGCAATAAGGGAATGTGCGTGTTTTTTCCATTTCCCCCCCATGAATTGCAATGAGATGCGGGGCTAGTGTGTCTGCGTTTAGCATGCGGTCGTGTCCTCGCGTTTAGCGCATCAAGCAGACGCCTGTCCTGGAATATAAATTAATGGTCCTGCTTGTTCGAGCACTCATTATGCTTATCTATTCTATCACGTCTAAGTCGACATTTTCAAACCATTCCACAAAAACGGGCAGTAAATCACAAAAAAAAAACAAAAAAAACAAGGCCGCTTGCTTGCTTGAAGGTTAGGCTTGTTCGGGCACGTCATGCGCACCCGACCTTTTGGTTGGATGCTGGAGAGGGTAGAGAAGAGATTTGGCTTGCAAAGGCTACGCGGAGTGAGCGGCAAGGGTTTCAAGCTGGCCTCCTCACATCTTTCTTACAAGCCACATTAAAAAAACTGTTTTCTCAGCTTGTAATGAAAAAATATTTGTGGCATAATGCTGTTGATTGGACTCGCAACTTCCACGGTCTTACTAAAATTTGTAATGGGGCCTAGTGAGTGGCCATTTAAGGGTGTACTAACAGAATTTTGAAGGTGGGGCAACTTGTGGGGCAGATTTGCATGAATACACACGCATCATCTATTTCACGTATCTATACAATCGAGCCTACATATAACCGCCCCACTTAAAATGAACTTTCGCTTAAAACCAACAATACAAGTGATGTGAAAATATACATTGGTTCAATGGCACAAAATCGCACTTACAACGAACGTCTCCGAGCGCCGCTGATCGGTTGCAGTGAACGTAGTCAGCGGTCTGCCTACTTCCCGGGAAACCACTTTCGACCACCGATCAGGCATCGGCAAGGTGCCCATACATTCTTATTGTTAAACGCTGACCCTGCCTCCACGACCCTCTAGTTGCCGCTCTCCCTGACCCATGAAGGAAGGAAAGCTGTTTCCTTCCACTGTGCCCCGACTGCTTTTTGTTGCGCACCCCTCCGTCCTTTGTCCCCCCCGCTACTCTGAGCACCCTGCATCGCCAGACGAGGCCAGTGTTTTCACACTGCCTTTGATCTTTGGAAGACCGGTCGATCGTCTACCTTGTTTTTGATCGCTGGTACTGTCGTTGGCGTCGCCGGCCTGAAGTGACCAGACCATTTGCCAACATCGTCGGCCATCGACTGTATCATATAGTCTGTGTCTAGTGCTACCCCACCGACTCTGATAACTTGCGATTTGTTTCGTGTTTAAGACTCGTTCTCGCTCACTTCGCACTCTGCTCAGTATGCCTTCGGCGTGTGTGCGGAAGCGCAAAAATTTACACGGAACAAGTCGCGAAATATCGAAGTTCTTGAGGCCGCACAAACCCGCCGGCGCAACAAAACAATTTTTTTGACCATGGCCGCCGATTCTTTCAACACCGCCGCGCGCACCAATCCAGGCAGCCGTGCTTTGACTTCAGCGCGCGCAGGCACTCAAGTTTTTCTACGTGCAAAGTTCCCGGACCTTTCAAGCAAGCTACCCAACCTGCCTCCTTACCATGTGTTTTGGTTTTCAAAGGTCGCCCTCTCGCCGCATCCTCCCCTCTCTTTATCGCAACTTCTTCCCCTTTCTCGCAAATCTGCTCTCCTCTCTTGATCACAACCCCTTCGCCCGTCTCCACCGCTCGGCGACGCCAGTCACGAATTAGTTTCATTTTCTGACTGTAAACTGGCCTAGAGCTGTTCCAAGCATTCTGGCATGTGTGTTGCATGTACTTCATCGACGTCGAACAGGACCACTGCGGCGGGGATTCGTGGCAGCGAGTCGTCGACTCTGACATGGGAGAGCGGGTAATATATCTGTTGCGATGGTTTAATTACAGTGTTCTAGAACACTGTAGGTTTAATTACGGCCGATGATGATGCCGACACTGCGGAACCATGCACAGATAGGGGCAATGTGAATTAAATACGTGGCGAAAGCGATTTGGAGGAATCTGATTGCGAGAACGACGAATCTGATTGCGAAAACTTTGGAGCCAGTGCCTCATGCAGGTTATGCCACGGGCCTCAGCGAACAAGCACCCAGCCGTTTTAAATGAACTCGAGACTGCCCTTATCGCTTCTGCTCTTTGAAACACGTGCATCACGGACTATTTGGGGCAAAAAAAAGTTTGTGTTTTCACTCGCAACTTCTTTTAAAAGCTGTGTTTCACTTACTACGAACTTCGGGATACAGCGAACGGATGCTGCGTCACACTCGGGTTCGTTATAAGCGGGCTCGACTTTATACACGTATCATCTATACACACATATTTAAAATCAATTTTGAAGGGCATGTCGCAACCCTGCTCACAAAATGCTCCTCTGGTGTTCTTATTAACAACCAACTGCCACCTGCATCAGGTGTTCGGATTGGCTGCTGCAATCATCGTGAACGCTCTCTCCTAGCAGACCTTTTTGGTTGAAAGCGGGGGCAGGCCTTTGTGGAAGTGCAAAGGCACAGCAGCATATTTTTGGGGCGTCGCGCATATTTGTGACATCTCCATTGAAAAGAGGTGTCAACTTGGTAGCAACACACAGGCAGTTTCTTGTGCTCACATAGTCAGCTATGTTTACATGAAAACCACTGTGGGTGCCATCTCACTTGGCACTCTTATGGATCTGAAACTGTGACCAGGCAGTATAAAACTATTTCAAAATAATTAACTGTCGCATGCTTGGCCAAACGACCTTTCCAGCCATGATGAGTGGGCCATTAGTTACTTATTGCAATAGACAAAACAACATGCAAAGTGTTTGTGTTGGTGCTCTGTTAATTGTGAGATGAAATTCTTTCAGTGAGCCTTTTCATCATTATTGACATCTTTTGTGGCAGGCTTGTCCGTGACCCCGGGGGAGTCCTGGGTGCTTGAGCGCCACGCAAGGTTCCAGGTTCTGGTTCAGATATTTGATGAGCACCATCACCAGGTTCACGCAGGCAAGGTGGGTGATTGGTTGATCAGGTGCCCAGGTCAGTTTGTCACGGTGTTCTGTGCTGCAGGACGTGCGCCTGCATGTCCACTTTCCGGCTGAATACTTCAACGTGCTCAGCTCCACAGAGAATGGCACCATCCACCACGTGCGGCCAGTACAGACAGGGAAGACTGTCATCAGGGCCAGGCTTCAAGGCTGTCGGCGACCTGTGAGTAGAGCTGTTGATGGCTTTTGTGGCAGGGAGAATTTGTCGGGACCCGGAGCCATCCAAGGATCAGGGGGAAGACGAACGAAGGAGCCAGAGCTGAAAACTGGAACATTTATTTACCGATATTTACATTAATCGGATAGCGTGATACTACATCAAAAAAAAAAAAAAGGAAGCTCCCTGGAGCGCCTTGCGCTCGTGTTTTTATCTCCTGGTTTTCCCAAGATTTCATGCAGGGAAGACAATTGAGGCCAGGATAGTCCAATGAAATTGTCTTAATTTTCACCCCCCCCCCCCGCAAATGGAAAGTCAAACACCGCCTTCCTCCCAATCCAGGAAAGAGGGAAAAAGGCTTATTAAGTCGCATGGCGAGGAAAAAACACACAATACACTACACAACTAATACAGTGCATTGACGGGCACTCTCACGCACAGAGATCGCTCATCGAGGTGGCTTCGCTGCGGGGCTGGCCGCGGTGCGCATGAAATGAGGACTGGAAAGGCACCTTGGAAGGTGAAAAACGTCCCTGAAGATGGTTCTTTCGCGCTCGGCTCATTGTCAGGTGCATTTTGACGACCCAAGCAATGCAGAGGTGTCAACTTTTTCTAGGCAGCCCAGACAGCAAACAGCTCTTTCTAGGTAACCCAACTGTCGTGAGAGTCTAAAGGGCTTTTGGGGAGGCAAGCCAACGGCCTTAAAGATTTCGCAGTATGCTACTGCCGTATGTCGCTGATTCCGGACACCTCAAAAAGCGCTGCAAGGCCGGAACCCATCCACGTATCCAAGCGGCGCCAATACATGGGGGCCGATCACAACATAGCACAATTAAAAATTTCTCTTTTAGGCCAGGAGTTGTCTATAACTAGAGTAACTAGAATTATAGGGGTGGGTTTGATCACAATTGCAAGCATTCTCAAATCATGAGTGGTAGTTTACCACTATCCCTGAAGGAGAACATACACAACAGCTGCATCTTACCGGTGCTTACCTATAGAGCAGGAACCTTGAGGCTTACAAAGAGGCTTAACTCTTTCGTTATCGCGCTTATTCAAATTGATCATCGCTGATTGATGCTTTTTTTGTTATCGATTTTGGCATGTTAAATTTATTTCTCGTGCACCCAGCACTTTCTAGTAGTTAGTTCAGCCACTCAACTTTCAGAACGTTGTCAAATTTGCCAACTTGGGCAACATAGCGAATTTTTTACAGACTTTTGCGCTAACCAATGGGTGTCTGTAGTTGAAAAAATGCACTAGGTTGGAGAACTTCACAGAAGTGCGTGCCCCTCAGGATCATGCTACCGTAACATCGAAGCTCTGCAACGAAAAGAAACTCTGCAAGCCAAATATCGAATTGATGTGTTAGCTTCGCAATTTGACTGAGTTGAGCAGTAATAACTGTCGGAAATTTATGCCAGCTAATCAATAAAGAGCTGTTGCTAGAAGTCAGGGAAAATTAGTTCTACAAAAAAGTATTTCCCAAGGTCCACCACATGTATAAAGTGTGCAGGTGGCTCTCACAGCCAGTTTCCAGCCGTTTTGGTTTTGCTTGTATCTTCATATCGGACACAGGGTCACATTTAGTGTCACTAGTCGCTCCTATTACGCGGTCATCACTCACGCATGGGTGCGTATCAGCGCTGAAGAACACATGCGCTGCTTGAAACTGTCTTGCGACCCCACCCTAATTGAGTGAGAACGAGCTATTTCGTGGATGACAGCACCTCAGCTTCAAGTTTTATAGGGACGATGTTTTGCATCAGCCCGAGACATCCGTAGCTGTTCGTGGGTTTGTTTTGTTTACATCCTCAAGTTTTCTCCTCCTACGCAAGTGCATATAGCTTCTGACCTTTGTGCATAATCTTATAGTTACTCAGGTAACTTTGCTAGGGCGCGGTGTGGTGGCACTGGCTTGCAGAGCTTCTCTTAACGGCAAGAAGGCCCCCAGAGCACATCTTGGCCCTGACTACAGAGCAGTGCGAAACATTTTAGAACTGCGCATGATATTGTCCTTTTTTTATTGCAATGTGCGCAAAGATGCAAAGGAATATGCTTAGATGCATATATTGGAGCACCAACCTATGTGGAGTGAGGCGGCTCATGCAAAGAGGTGATGCTAGATGTAATAGCGAAGTTCATTGTACATCTCATTTACAGAGGGATTATTCACATCGCAGGTTTTCATCTATATTGGGATACCTAGAGACTCTTATCGCAAGGCAATGAGAATTTACTGAGAAGAGAGTACGAGTACACTTGTGTCTCACGAAAAACCATGCAATGCTTCATGGCATGGCATGAGCAAAGAAGAATCACCTCGGTTCTGATTTTCTTTCTCTATGTGAACAGAAACATTTTGTACAGCATTAATTATTTTGGTACTGTTCCTAGGTCATTTATCTACAAAATGTATATTCCGAATTTTCTTTGTTTTGAATATTTTTGCAAATGTAGTGTTTCTTATTCCTCTGTTTACCAGCCGGTGACGAAAAATTCCACACTTTTCAGATTTTTACTCATTCCAAAATATTTTTGTTGCTCTACAACCTATATTTTTTGGAAAAAGCAGTTCATTCTGCAAAGCTTGGTATGCTGCAATGCATGCTGGAATACTTTTCAAACTGGCAAAGGGGATCTTCCCGAAACTTATGAAAAACAACCATTCTCGCGCGGTAACAAAAGAATAAAGGGATATTTAAAAAAAAGTGTGAGAACTGAATAAAACATTGAAATTCTACTCGAAAGATGCCTTTGTTTTGATAAACAAAGTTTATTTTTTGTATTTTTGAACAGTGTGTTGTATCTCTGGTGGATTGTCATCATGTGGCGACTGCAGGCAAGTGTGAGCCGTGCTACCACATTTTTCCCAGTCGCATGCTGGATGCTCGTCTTCCTGTCCTTCTCTTACTTTTATCCACCTTTCCTTTCATCTCTATCTCCCCTTTTCACAAAATTCCTGATGCTTTAACCCAGCCAAAAGCATCGTTAGCTGTCGTCGTTGTACTGGGAACTATAGTGGGAGCTGAGTGGGCCGAGAGAAATGAGCGACGGCTGGCCTTGTTAAGATGCCTGTTTCCTAGGAGTGTAATGTCACTCATCTCCTCTATCTAGTTTATGGTGTGGCCACTAGACATAGAAGTTTGTAAGAAAATTCAATAAATTCATTATTTGACTTTAGTTTTTACCTGAAATGAAGGTTGTGTTTGTCGATTTGAACACCCAATCTTTCAAATTGGCTCAATATCTCGGCGGCAATAATTCTGTTCAGTATCCCTTTGAACTGAAAACGACACCATGAGCAATAGAAAGGAAAATGGTAAATGTGCAAGGGAGTTTAACTCCCTTTGTAATGTAACTTTAAGAGACAGGAAGAGAGCAGAGTGGGTCAGGAAACAAATGGGGTGTGAAGGACATCATGGTTGAAGCCTAGAAGAAGAAATGGACATGGGCCAAGCATTTAGCACATAGGAAGGATAACCACTGGTCAATAAGGGTAACTGACTGGAAACCAGAAGGCAAATACGCGAGGGTCGACAAAGTTAGGTGGGCCGATGAGATTAAGAAGTTTGTGGGTACAATGTGACAGCAGCAAGCACAGGACTGGGTTTTTTGATGGCATAGTCAGACTGATGATGATTGTGAGGACTCGGCAACGTAGACAAGGCGATAATATAGCGAAAACGGCTTTAATAAACAGAGGCTATGGCATCAATGCAGTCGTAGTGCACGCACGCCGAGAAACAACACTACGAAACCGCATCTTGACTAGCTCAACATGGAGCACAAGGGTGCCACATGTTGTGAGATCTCACATCCGACCCCTCTTTAAAAAAAAAAATAGTCGATCGGCTTTTGAGATCACACCCCACCTGTTTTTTTTTATGCCTTATAGTATAGCAGCAATCAAAACACCAATGTCTTCCCAGAATCTTGGAACAGTGTGGTCCTTCTTCTTAAAACCCTTTATCTTTGTCCGAGGCTTGGTCTTTCTGTGTGCCTTAATGTTGTCTCAAAGTTTCTGCTGGCGCTCTATCTGACGTTGTTCCACTTGTTCAGTGCATGAATCCCACACTTTGCCCTGGTCTGCTGCCTCTTCTCGCACCGTTTGAGCTATGTCTTCATCAAAAATATGGGCACCTATTTCTTGTCAGAGCCCAAAGACATTCTTGCTTCTTCTGAGCCTCTTCCGTGACAGCTGTGCGGTAGAAGTCAGCTGTCTCTTGTGATGTCTTTTCCACTTTCATGTAGCGCGCAGCAGGTTGGCTTGCTTGACTCGGCTTGTGTCGCTTATTCTGGGTTAGCTTAGCAGCTGGCTTGATGGCTTGTTTCTTGGCCTTGCGCTCACCACCTGCTGGTTCCTTATCTCTGAGAGCCTCAATCTTACAGCTGAGATGCAGTGGAGGCTCATCCAGAAAACTGACACATTTTAGTATAGCTAAGTGCATGTTTCGATTGGCTTCCTTTTGTTTCTCCGTCTTTAATTCATTGGCTTGCAGTGGCTGGCTAACTCTCTGGCAAGGTTCTGGGTCCAGCCGTACCGTCTTTACGCTTGAGTCCTTAGGATGAAGCTCTTGACATTGGCTTGGAATGAAATAGTCGTCCTTTTTGCTAGATCTATGCAGGCAACATATGTATGACGATACGCCTGGCAAAAATTCAGTGGAGCGGTCAGTACCTTTGTAAAGTCCCAAATTATTGTCATCAGTGGCAAAGATGTCCACATGCTGGTGCAATACGTGTTGAACTGCAGCGACTTCTTGTTGTAGCTGAGGATTTACATGGGCGTCACGTAGCTGTGGCCGTTGCACTTCCAACGTGGTAGTATCATTCGAGTAAATTTGCGTCGGGTTCGGTTCATGCGACATCACATTAGGTAACCCTTCATTTGGTTCGAGGAATAACTATGTGGGCTGGGGTTTGTGCGGCAACGGCGAAAACAGCGAACAGGCTGTAGAAGACGTCATCTGTGTAAAAAAAGGCATAGAGCTATTGTACAGCATAACAGTATTAGAAATTCTTGGCAGTGGCTTCTTCATGCATCGCACAATAACACCTGTGCTGGGATGGCGAATTTGTGTTGGATGAGGTAGTCGGACAAGGAGCTCGGCGCGGGCGGCCTCAAACCAGTCCTTTCCGAGGATTAAAGGCAAGGGGTTTTTAGCCAGAACTAGAATCTCAAGCACTGCCAAAATAGGCCCTACAGTGATGCGAGTACATAATGTACCAACTGGCATAACGGCACCACCACCTACACTAGATATGGGAGGCTTGGACAATGGCAACAAGTTGGAAGATATTGAGGTCTAGCGATATTATGGTGTGTTTTGAACCACTGTTCGAAAATGCGTCTACAGTGCCAATAAGTGGAATGTCTGCTTGAATCACAGCGCACTGCCCAAGAGATCCTTTGAGTGGTTCTGAAGGCTGAAGGCATGCCAGGCAGGGAAAACTTGTTTGCTGGCTGGGTAGCGGGACATTGGTTCCGGAACGGGGGCACTTCAATGCAAGATGACCAGGTTGGCGACAGTTGTAACATATGGCCTTGCTTATATCTTCCCCGCGGCTATAAGCAGGTGCGCCATTTTGGGAACTAATTGCAAGATAACGAGTGTCTTATTGATCCAGGGGTAATGACAAAACTCGATGTGGTGCGATGACGAAGTGTCGTCATTCCTAGAACCAATCTGCAGCACAGGCAAGGGAGGCACTTGTAACGCTGACAATCTGGCTGCAATGGGTAACTGACTTGGGAAAACAGAGACATGTGCTTAGTTCGGTCGATTTGGGTGGCGATGGCAAGAAATGCGCTCACAGTTTGTGGCCACTGTGCGGCGATAGTTGTTATGTGTGCGTCGTGCACACCCTGTAGGGCATATTCAATGCGCTGAGGATCTGTCAGTTGGACTGGATATCTTGAAATTATGTGCAGTTTCGCCATAGAGTAGTCAACGAGGCCCTCACTGGGTGACTGGACGCATCTTGTGGCTATGTGCTGCCACTGCAAAAACGTAAGTTTAATCTCTGAGCTGGTTCTCTAATGCAGCTTTGAAATGCTTGCACGTGTCCAACTGGTTTCCTGTCACGCTTTTCCTATCCGCAGCAGTGACACGGGGCTTACCAAGCGCTACGACTAGGAGAGTAGACGGTGTCCACGACTCTAAGCCTTGAGTTTGCTTAAGTTCTTCAACCACTGGTGAGCCGAGGTGCTACCGTCACCACTAAGGTTGGCAGTGAGGCCAAAAGGTCGGGCAATTTAGTGACTTGGACTAGAAACGTCGGTCGTTGTGACGTCAAAAACTGCTGTAGTAGGTCACTCAGCATTTTTGTACTTAAAAACAACTGCTCAGCTGTCGATTCGGGCCCACCAGACGGTTGACCGTTCCTGGCATTGTCATGAAGCAACCGTCCAATCATGTCTTCCTTCGAGCTAGTCGTCTCCAGGTTACGGTCCAATCATGTCTTCCTTCGAGCTAGATGTCTCCAAGTTACGGTGCAAAAGTTCATGGTGTATAGCGTCCGCTGTGAACCCGTGGAGGTCTTCCACAGTGGCCTCATTCCAGTTTATATGCGGCATTGCGATCGACTGACCGGCAAGCAAAGGCAGTGAGGCGGGCAGCTAGCACAAAACACCAACTCACACGAAATGTACGAGTGGCTCTGGTTTCCTCGGCATGGTTCGTCGACGACTGCGCCAAATGTGAGGACTCTGCGATGTAGACAAGGCGATGATATGGCGAAAATGGCTTTAATAAACAGAGGCTATTGCATCAATGCAGTCGTAGTGCATGCGCGCCTTGGAACAACGCTATGAATTCGCGTCTCGACTAGCTCAACATGGAGCACAAGGTTGCCAGATTACACGAAATCTCGCATGATGAAATACATTTTTTCATATTTGTTTAGCTTGGAAAATCTAGAAGAAGAATTGGATCTGTCCTTTCATCATGGAAGCAGGGTGTCAGAATAAAATAGTTTTCTTCATGGTTTTAGTTTCGTTCTTCCCCCAAAAGTTTTGTTTTTGTTCTCAAAGGGAGAAGAAAATGTTCTTTGACAATTCATAACTGCTATTAATTGTGTGTGAAATTTTCAAGTTGAAGTAACAATAAAATGCAAGATTTTCGGTAAATTTACTTGGGTTTTTCTTAACCCTTTGGGGTCCAAAACTTTTACCCACTTTCCGCCTCTACTGATCCGAAAGCATTTTGCCAGTTTCTGGCACCGTGAAGAAAAGCACGTGCTCTGAAAGAGACTCACAGGATATTGATTTTTGCTCCTGCATTTTGTAGGCAACTCCTTTATTGATACCTAGGCATCGTATGATACCGCTCAAAGCAGTCTTCTTTGTGCAGGCCAGGGTTGTTACTGCAGGTTTTGCCGAAAAACAGAGGTGTTGTCTCCACTGTCGTTGTTGTTCCAGTCACCCACTCCTGCCAAGTCATCGTCATCAATGTCTGGTGGAGCTCGTAATTCTCTTGCTCACTAAAGTCGTATTCGCTTTCGCTAAGAGCACCACCGGGAAACGTACCCGGGCTCTCTCATAATCATATGGTGCTTTTGGGACATTAAACCCCACATATCAATCAAAACGTACACGGTGGAAACATGGCCATGCTTTTCAGTGAACCGCACGCTAGTGGGTACGCTCTATAGACTCCATGCATAACATAGTGTTGCACTCTAGTGTAAAAAAAAAAGGTAGACCACAATAATAAAACTCACTTGTTCCTCAAGAGATGGGGCTTCATGTATTTAAAAAATGCAAGCAACTTGGAGTGAGAAAACCATGAAATTTAAACCCATGAGCACCCTTGTCAGGCAGGGCCCAACAGTGGACCGCTACGGCCGTGTTACGTTGGCTGCAAAAGGTTAGAGATGAGAGACAGAGGTAAAAAACATTCTCCCCATGTTGTCAAGAAAAGCCTAACTGCACCACTTGAAAAAACTCGTGTAACGAAGGAGGATGAGAATGAAATGATGGCGCGAACAGACAGTTCAGTTTTTTTTTTCTCATTTTTTTTTTGTTTTCTCAAAGCCCTGCTGCACCATAAATTCTTACCAACTAGTGCAAACTAGCACCCTTCTAAATATTGAACTTACTCAAAAAGTTAATTGAGAATTTTCTGAGCAGGCTGAATGCATTGTAAATGGAAGCACTTCAACTTACACGACGCACTCAAAGACGTTGTGAAGGACTGGGTCTTGTCACGGCCACATAAATTCTAGAGGCGGGTGGAGGGAGGGGGGGGGGGGGACATTTGGCTTGTTCATCACAGGGATCGTTGTGCTCAGGCCTGTGGTGTATACTTTGAACAAAGTATTCATTTACACCTATAGTAGTGCCACTTCATACTTTTTCATTTAAACACCCTTGTAATTGAAACATCCCTTATAATGGAAGCGAGGCCTAATGGCAACATGACCTTACATTGCTCATTGTGGCACTGGGGTACGGTGCTGTGGAAAAGTGCATTTTCTTCATTTGGGAAAGTGACTTCTTTGCAAGTTCTTTTTTGTTGATAAATAATAAGTACAGTAAAAAACAGCATGAATGAGCAATACCAAAGAGACCATAGACTGAGCTGCTGGATTGACTTGAGCTGCTTGTGTGAAGATCTTTTTTAACAAAGCTTCACACATGTGTGGAATCATCTATTTGCGGGGCACAGACCTGTATATCAAGAAACGGTGGTTCGCAGGACGGTGCACTGTTGCGAGCCACGGCGTCGGGAGAGCAGGAGTTGTCCATCGAGGAGCCACTGTTGGTGCAGCCCGGGGCAGTGCTGCTTCCTTGGGACCCAGATGTGCAGCCAGTGCACAGGGTGCGGGCACACATCCAGGGGGGCACCGGTGCCCCAGTTGATTGGAAGCTGAAAGCACCTCCTGTGTGGGCGCGTCTCGATGCCGTCGGCCCAACGGCGACCACCTTGGTGACCAGTGGTGGCCCCGGCCAGGTGCAGCTGATTGCACACGATGGCCACTTAAGCCCGGCCCACATGCACGTGTCTATCGTTCCAGTCATGGAACTGGAGGCCCTGGGTTCTCCGGTGCTGGAGGCAGAGTTGCCTGGCGGAGAGCTGCTGGTGGCTGTGGCCATGTACGGCCATCACCGTAAGTTGATCCAATTTGGGAGAATACACTGTTGTGCGAGTCGGTGTTTTATTATGCCGGAAAGAGTGTGAAAAAACATAGGCAAAGGAAGAAAAGGACAGCATGAGCACGTAATAGCAACTGAGGTTTTTTTTTTTTTTCTTTTGAAACACTAGCCCTTTGCGAATAGTAAACTTTAGGTTTGGAGTGAATTCAAAGTAAATTGTGATTTGGGCTAATAATTTTAAATCGAATTCCAACAGTATGTATATTACATATTATAAAGAAAATGAGCATATTTACTGTGACACAACTAACCTGTTCAATTTAAAAAAGAAATTGTAACAAGGCATGTATGAATGTCATTCTTTTTGGTTCAAGGGAAGTGGAAGCAACTGTGCATTCAGTACAGAGCAAGCAGTAACCTCTAAAATGCAATAAACTTTAAAATGTAATATGTTTAGAGCATAAAAGCCAGTATAAGAAACTTTTAGACTTAAAAAATTGGAGATTGATGTGAGGGTAGTATGTTGATTTAATCTTGAAGTGGGTCTTTACAACTGTCATGGATTCGGGTGGTTGTGCTTGAACTGAGACAAGCGACTCATGTCACTACGCACAATGGCACAACGAATTTACTAAAAGCAAAGGCATGGCACTCAAAACAGGAACAGGAAATACTGATAACCTTGAAAAAACAAACACAACAATACTGAATGCCTACATGCACTAAGTAAGTAAGCCTCATTGAGTACTTAATACTGGTCCTTACTGACACTAATGAACGTCTGAGCCCGAGGGTCGGTCTTTCTTACTTTTGTCACATCAAAGTTCGGGATCCTTCACAATTGATCACTGGTGTCCTCGATGCTCTTGACGAACTTCACTGTCCCTGTTATTGCCAACATCGTGTGTGCGGTTGTGTGCGGTTGTGTGCGGTTGTGTGCCCCCCATCCTCCAAATCAAAATAAAAAACGAAAACTACTTTTGCACGTTGGCAGTGCCATGCTTTTACATATGGGGAGCCGCGCTGCTCATGGAGAGGGCTTTACTGAATAGTTTTCCGCGGTGTTCGTGTCGTTCGCTCTTCGTTTTCGACGCCGTGCGTGCATAGTTTCAATGCGCGCGCATTGTGCGGCCCCCGACGACATTCAGTTTGATTGTTTTTATTATTGCGATAGCAATTATATGGACAGTCTCGGCTGGTTTCTTGCCCTCGCCGCTGCCATTCACACATATATATATATGAAAACTCACGAAAAAAATTGGCCTTGTATCTGCATTTAATCTGCAAATGTTGTCGAAAGACGATAGTCGTGCATGTGGAGAGAGTGAACAAAACATTTATTTGATGTTCTGTTCAAGAAAATCAGTTAATGGTATTCGTATGTGTATATGAAAGCTCAAGAAAAAAAAAAAGCCACCCGGCGCCCAGCTTGTCACGATGCGCTGACGTGCGCTTATCTCCAGCGTGTACTTTGCCCCATGAATGGAGAGTATAAGCTTGTGCACGCATGCTTATCTTTCGGTGTGGAGAATAGCGCACCTATGACTGTGACCGGAACGATTGGGTTTAGTTGCCGGGTGCACAAAGATCACTTTGCTCGTATTACAGGCGCTGTTTGTGAAAAGAGTGCGCTTTTCAAACACAGCAAAGTAACAACTGGGGCACATTGTTGTTTCACACTCATATCTGTACCGGTGATTATGTCTTGTGCCTTGTTTTTCTTTATACAGAGCGTTAAATGTCGAGCGGTAAACGTTGTTAGTTCGCCCTCATCCTATGTATGTTGTTTTCGTGCGTCATTTGTGCGTGAGCAGCGCGCTGCCCGTTTCAATCTCTTTGACGTTCTCAGCGTTAATACGAAGTTTTCGCTATCGCACTGCCTCGCCCTTTTGGCAAAACTGGGACTTTTCTTAATTTCGGACAACCATGTCGTCACCACCGAGGGGACGTCAGATTAGGCGCTGATGGAAATTCTCCGAGACCACAGTGACGACGGATATTCGGAGGTTCACTCGTCGCGGGCTTCCGTCTTGTGCCACGAGTTCGCAGGCTGGTAGCTTTCGCGATTAGCCGATTAATTCTGTCAACAACACGATGTCGCGTTGAATGGAATGCAATGAGCGTGATAGCAAGAAGTTGTAATGTTATAAGAAATAAGGCTGGCAGCCAACTCTTTTGGATCCGATATGGCAGAACTCCTACGAAACGCTGGTGTGAGCAAATACAACTGCTCCAGGTAAAAGTGGCCTTTTCACACAGTTCCTTCACGTTGAAACCGCACTGATACTCTCCGAGATAGCAAGCGTGCCAGCGATCGCGACCGACCTTAAAATCCAAGTTCATTATTGCTACTCAACACACACCTTATACAAAAGACGAACAAAACTAACTCACAGACTTCACGTTAAGCTCTCAAATATTAACTCAATAACACAAACTATATACACACCAGTCTGCTACAGACTGAAACCAGAACTAACGCAAAATATTGCCACATTCGCTCCTCACGTTTTGTTATCACCCCATTTCACTGTCAGCAATACTCAGCACGAAGCGTGCCTACAGTGTTCCAGAAGCTTCAGCACTGCAGTAGATCATTTTCTTAAGATTACGCCCACTTTGTGAATGTGGCAAGAGACTATTTGCCACAACCGAAAGAGCTGATCGGGAAAAGACAACAATGGTGTGTGCGGGGATCGAGCGAAGATCTTGAGGAATGGGGACCTCTTGGTGAGTGGCAGAGAAACGCATTGGCCGGTCGAGCAACGGGCCACGTCCCGACGTTTCAATATGACGCCACTAGCCTGGGGCCCATCCCAACTTTCACGATACCGGGGACTACTAGGCTGGGTATCGCCCCACCTGTCCCCGGCTGCGGTTCCCCAGCGATGTTCCTGGCAAGTGGCTGGCGTTGTCCCTGGCGCTCCCTGTCGCTGTCTGAGGTGCCGTTCTTGGCTTGTACCGTTCAAGCCACCCTTTGTGGCACTGTTTCTGTTGACATCCCCGGTGCTGTACCAGGTGCCGACACTGCTGCACCGAGTTTCTCCCTGGCCTGAATCAGCTGAGCCGGGCCATGCATCGGTCCTGACCCAGAGGAAGCAACTCACCCCGGTCTTGGCGCCGAGTACACGTGGCCCTCTTCCGGCCTGCTGAGACCATGACCACACGGCATGCACCGCCGACTTGGTTCCATGCACCATTGCAACCCGCCCGTTGTTTGAGGTCCACCAGACGAGAGGAGCTCGGAGCTTCGCTCTTCAACAACTCCGCGACTTAAGCACCGAGAATAACTGCATTAGTGTGAGTGTAGAACTTGTTCATGTTAGTTACTTGTATGTGTATGTATATATGTCATGTAGTGTAGTCTCGTGTCTGTGCCGATATTATGATGTCTGGGTTGAGACAGCATTTATTCAGCCCAAGGGCTCAGCAGCGAACGGGCAGGCTCAGACCGAGTGCGCACACACTTGATGATGATTCAGGTGACACCCAGTGAAGATGAGGACAGAGATCCAGACGGATGATGATGATTATGATAATGCATATATGAGAAGCGCATAACGAATGCCCACACTAATTCCCCCCACATCGAAGCAGTCAACCTGGCCGTAGCAAGTCAATGTGACAGAGAACGTCACCTCAAAGGCTTCATGCGAGACATGTGCATGCTTTCTGTGGTACGGTGACAGCGGTCTGTTGGGACAACAAGTGGGGTCACACAATAATTAACGGGCAAAGTCTGCTCAATAACTATGTAAGGCCCAATGAAGTGTGGCTGAAATTTGTCACACAGAACAGGTGTACGAATAGGTGGGAACAGGAGCACCTCGTCACCAGGTCGGAAGAATACAAGGCGATATGATGCGTTATAAATGACTTTTCGATCTTGCTGTCGCGCTTCCGTGTTGATGCAAGCACGATCGCGACACCGGGCTAACCTTGAAATGTATTCTTCGCTGGAAGACAGAGAGGAGTTGACGTCACTGTTGAAAAAGGAAACGAGGAAGAAACTAGGGGAACGTCCATAAACAAGGTAGAACTGCGAATATCCGGTGGTGCGCTGAACAGCCGTGTTGTAGGCAAAGGTGAGGAATGGTAGAATAGTATCCCAGTTTTTGTGGTCTGGACTGATATAGATGGCTATCATATCTGCAAAAGTACGGTGAAACCTCTCAGTGACACCGTTGGTCTGAGGGTGGTAGCTTGAAGCTGTCTTGTGTGTTATTCCAGAGGCGCGCAATACTTCATTTAGCATTTCTGACAGGAACACCCTTCCACGGACACTCAGTAATACACGAGGGGCTCCGTGGCGCAGAATGATGCCGTGCAGAACCAAGTTGGCAACTTCCGAAGCAGAGGCAGTAGATACAGACGTCTCCGCGTAGCGTGTCAAGTGGTTTATGGCGGTCACTATCAATCGTTTGCCAGTAGATGTAACGGGAAGAGGGCCGTAAAGGTCGATACCTACAACCTCAAATGGCATTGTGGGACACGGAATTGGCTGCAGAGGCCCGGCCGGTGCAGTTGTCTGGTTTTTACGACGCTGGCACGGGAGACAGGAACCGACGTAGCGCGCGATGCTAGTAGAAATACCAGGCCAGTAGAAGCGACTTGGAATGCGGTCATAAGTTTTTTGAATAGCAAGATGTCCGGCAGTCAAGTCATCGTGGAAGGCTTTAAGCACATCGAGTCGAAGAGAGCGTTGTAGCACAGGAACCCAGCGTTGACCATCAGGGTGGTAGATGTGACGGTACAGAACTCCATTCTCCAGCCCAAATCGCAAGATTTGTCGACGATGCCGCGCGTTAGGTGGATGGGAAGCTCCTGAGAGCTGTTCCATAATACGCTTACAGTACGGATCAGACAACTGGCAGGAGTGATATGTGTGCTTGTCATCCGAGAATAGCTGGTTTATTGAGGCGAGCACGGGCGCTTCAGTAGAAGTGACAGGAATTTGCCAGTATGCTTGAGCTCGGAGCCAGATCGGCCATCACTGGAACCGCTCTTGCGAATA